GCACCAGCAAGTCTAAACCAACCCTGGCAACCCCATTGAAATGGGGTCCTGACCCACAGTTTGAAAACTGCTGACTTACATCAATTATGTTAGCAGGGTGTGGTAATGTCAGGAGTCAGGTCAGGAACATTTTGCCTGTTTTAACTGTTACAGTAAGAAGCTTCAAAGCTTGAGACCTTTTTCTCTCAGTTGCTACTTCCACTGCCAGTTTTTACGCTGGCACTTGCAGAAAACAGACATACATTACACTTCTTTTACTATCAGTAAACAAAATATATCTCCTCTTTTAAGTGACTGTTGTCAAAGTGAGGCTGCAGAACTAAATAAATATTTTCTTTGCAATCTGCCTGGAAGTCCAAATGTCAGGGTTGCGGAAACATCCTTCTTTTCAATTGTACATTCAAACTTTTGACACCCAACATAGCACCTATGGCTGTAGTTTGACTCAAAGTCCTGACAGTTTGGAAGCAGTCCTAAGTACCTGGAACTTTCCCAGCTGCCTGAGTCTCCAGCCAAAAGCCTTTGTTTTATCAACTAGGATAGTTCAGGCTGATGGAATCAGAAAATTAACCACTACAGGTCATGTGATGATCTCAAAGTTCTTTTGAAGATCCAGACGCTGATTCTGAATTCATACTGATTAGAATCAGTATAAGTGAGATCAGACTCAGGCCCACAGTGTCATTCATTAAACATTTAATAAACCCTATGTCAGCTGCTTTAAAAAAAAATCTAGAGAGCTACATTGGAACCAAAGGATCCATACATCTCAGGGTTTAAATTAGTAGGGCATGGGCTGGGGAGTAAGGAGCCAATCAGCTCCCCTCTCCCTCTGGCTGGCTCATGGGAGTTAGAGAGCCCATGGGAAGGGTGGGGAGGCACCCCTGAATTCCCCCCATGTGTACTCCTGACTCCTCCCTTTTTCTCTGCCTCTGTCTCCCTTCCAGCTGGTCTTGTCAAATTTTCCACATCTGTTGATTCAGGCCTGGGGCATTGTTCTTAGGAGAGTTTGTTTGCTCACATCATTCCTTGGTTGTGTCTCAAGATGAATGAAACCTAACTGACCACTGCATTACATGACATAACACAGGATTAATAGCGGTTTTGGAGATGCAGTGTCGCTCATTAACCCTTTCATAGACACTGCACATAGTTCACTGGTTGTGCCTTTCTGCGGGGCTCATCCTGCTCTGCAGCACCAGCTGGGAGTTCTGCTCTGCAGAGTGATACATGAAGCAGTAGTAGCAGTGGCATTACTTAAGTTAGCCCTAGGAGGAAAATAGGGGAGCAAACAGCTTGGCGTGGGTCACACCAAAACATTATTTAAATCTGTTTTTCTGATCTAACAGAGAATTGATTCAACAGAACTATGGGCCTCTAAAAATCAGGCCCTCGCTGTCACAAAATGGGTACCCAAAATGGAGACACTCAAAATTAACAGAATTTAACCTCTCTTTGCCTCAGTTACGCCATCTGAAAAATGGGGAGTAGAATATTTACCCACTTTAGGAAAGCACGCATAGACCCTGAGATCTTTGGATAAGAAAACCCTAAACATATGCAAAGCATTATCATCTAATAAGAGCAAACTGTGCATTATATTTCTGGAACAGCTTTCAAATAGCAGTACTGGGCGCAAATAACCTAACTAGTTTTAATATGGAACTTGATTAAATTTATGAGCAGGATTATATGACGGGTTTGCCTGTGAAGACTGGACTCAATGACCCAGGCAGTCCCTTCCAGTCCTATATTCATATTACTTGACTAGTACTGTGGCTTTTATTGTTATTAGAATAAAGAAAATTCTCACACAAATTTTGGAGCATTGACCATAGTTTATTTTGAAAAACAAACAAACTTTTATCTTCATCGAGACAAAAAAATATTGGTTCCTAGAAAAAGAAAACAAATTAGAATTTATTTTTTTCCAAAACAGGGTTTCTTTGTTTTAGATGCCATCAAACAAGTGAGGGGGAACTTAAGTGAGGCAATGAATTGACAGGTGGACTGGTAGTTCCTAGGAAGTCCCTATGTCTGCTGCAGACAGCCTTAAACAATGAGACACAGTAAATGAGGAGCTGTTCTCTAGAAAGTTAGACCAAGACTTAGTCAATTCCAATTTTCTTCACATATTCTTCTGGTAATAATGTTCCAGCTGGGCCTTTACTGTCAGCTGGCTGTGACTTTCTTTTAATTAATGTATGTACATTCCTTTGAAAGTGTCAAGTACTAGACAGAGTAAGTGATATCAGTATTACCATCACCAAAAGGCTCAGCCAGGAAATCAGAAAGGGGGGAAGATCAGTTTCCAAATCCATATTCTGATGTTAATGGGGGAAGAGTAACAACTTCTTCTCCAAGTGGGAATATAAACAAAGAGGAGAAAGAAAAAGAGAAGGAAATTTATGGACTAAGGATGGAGAAATTCCATTTCTTTTGTATTTTACATTCTGACTCTGGCTGAGACCTTTGTGATTTTCAACTAGGGTGCTTTAATAGGGCTGAACATTTTTGTTTAATCATATATTGTTAACAAACTGGATCTCCCAGATGGCTTTGCCTCCATTCTAGCTAAACAGATTCCTTTGCTTGGCACCATGCTCCCGTCAGCTTATCCTATTTCCATTAATAAAATCAATGACTAATTCTTACCACTTGTTAAAACCAAAAGAGGTATCTACTGAAAAGAAAAATTAGAATAGCTGAGCCATTTGATATCTAGGAAAATAGCGACGTTGGAACCAGCATATCTATTTAAACAGTAGAGTGAAACTAGACTGAACTATAGCTAACTTGGGTTCTGGTCCTGTACCATTAAAGTCAACAGATATTTTACCCTAGATCCCTTTTCCCAGTTCTGAGTTCCCTTCTTTAAGGCTTTATGAAGATGAGTTATATGTTTTTTCTCTTAACCTTTTAAATGACACATATCTATTAGCTAGATACTGAAGGAATAGAGAATTAAAAATGCAAGTCACTAGATAAAACAGATAATTGTGTTCAGAGATACCATATGCCTGATTATGATCTACCTTACAGCAGTGTAAATCAGGAATAACTGTACAGTGGTGTGAGAGGAGAATTTTTGTTTGAAAGAACTATTCTTTCGTTTAAGTTGGCTTTTAATACATATGCAAAGCTTTTGACAATCTGTATGCACCTATATGCACAACCGCCAACTTTGCTATATATGTATGCACAGAAAGCGCAATACTTACTTTATTGTCTTCCACTTAGTGCTTCGTTCATTGGAACAATTTCAGATGATATTTATGGAAAATTTAAGGGATGTGAATAGTTCTAATCAGCTGAAAATGATTCATAATGAATCAGTGATATCAGCAAAAGAGAGTTTTTAGAAGATCTAGCATTGGATGATGTTGTAAGGCAGAACTTTTTTCCCCATAACATCTACAATGCCAGCTACTTAATTAGTAAGGGTAGTTATACTATCAGTGAAATAACATTTAGTTTTTATGTTAAATTAAAAAAAAATCCAATGGAAATACACATTCAATATGCCAAGAGAATACAGCCAGTTCCGTTTTAGCTGGATGTAGCTTACCCAGACATTGCTGCAAGTGGACAAAATAATTTTCTCACACAAAAGTAACTTTTGCACAACTTGTGCTGTCATTCAAGCCATACAGAAGATAGATTTACATGAATATTTACCAGACCCCACATGGCAACTCTGACTTCCATGGCTATCTCTTGGCCTCTTATGGCATCCAGTCTGCACCCTTGCCAATTGCCTCCTCATCATGGCAGTTTTCTGACCAGTACTGGCAACTTCTGCACTCCTTTTGAGATATCAGTCTTCTTATTCCACTTCACATTTCCCTTTCTCTCTTATATGAATGCTGGCTAAGATGGACAGATGGGCATTTGCTTGATGAATCTGTCTTAGCTAGCCTGCACTCTGCAGGCCAAGTTTTCAAAGATGGTTGTCTAAGTTGTGCATGCAGAGGGCATCTACTTAAAGTCACCTACTGAATCCATCTCTGCTTCAAGCATAGGCACAGAGACCCAGATCCTCAAAGATATTTAGGTACCTAATTCCCTTTGAAATCAATTCAAGTTAGGTGCTAAATATGTTTGAGGATGTGGGCTAGGGTAACTGAGAATTAGGCCTGTTGTGTTTCTGACTCAGGAGTGGGTAATGAGGAACACCACTGAAGGTAATCTCCATCTAAATTCTTCATACAATAGGTATTATTCAACAACATTTTACAGCCTTAAACTGGCTCACCTCACTATTCTAAGCGACTGGTAGTCTGTGAATGAGAAACCTCCCTGAATGGAAGAAAATTGGTCTTGGGAGGATCACTTACTGAAATGTATTTTCATTTGAAGAGCATTGTAACACACGTGCCATGGGGAAAAATCCATCTTTTCAAAAAGAATGCCGTATGCAAATACCACAGGAGATGAAAGATGGTCTTGCAGCAAAGTCTCCCAGCCCAGTGCTAAGCGATTTGGATTCTATTCACAGCTCTGCCTTGGACTTGTACAGCTATGAGCCCAATTTGTGTCTCAGTCACAGCAGTGGAAAGCAGGAGCAACTCCACTTAAATCAGTAGAGTTATACTGATGTGAGGTCAGAATGAAGTCTACCTGTTCCAGTCAGTATGATGGAGATATGAAAAAGATACTGTGTTAATGTTATCCTCATAGCTATTGTATAAATATATATTTAAACACAGCACTACTATATGTTTATACACGTTTGTATATATAGGTACCGTATAATATTCATAGATCATCTGATTGTTATTCAATACATGACAAAAAGAAAATTCCTCTGGTAATCTAACTTGTTCTAGGAAAACCACTGCCTCTGAAATTATTAACTGTGTTTGTGGTTTGTGCTGTTATGTTCATTTTTCATACTCATTATGTTCTCTATGGATTTCTGCATTTCACTTTCCAGGTAGTTTGTTGGAATAAATTATAATTGACATTAAGAAAGAAGAGGATGAACTTTTGAGAGAATATGGAATTTAGGCCCTGGGAGCTCTAGAGCCAGTAAGGCAAGGATCTTTAATTGGTTACACTTATAAGCAATGCCAGAAAATATGAAGTACAAAATCTTGTCTCCTTCCAGCAGAGCTGGAGTATTTCAGCAGGCTTATGCATACTCAACCAAGGTAAACTGGAGGTCACGAGGCAGTAAAAAAACAACTCTATTCCAAAAGGGTCCAAAAGGACATACACGATGGTGTAAGCATGTGGCCTCACAGAGAATACACAAAATAGAAACCAAATCACATGGATTCTGCTAATAAACTTTAACTGTTTGTTTATTTTTTGTTGGTTTAAGATAGGCAGTGCTGCTGCTGTCTAGGCAACAGCTCTTTAGGGATATGGAGGAAGTGGGTTGGACAGTGATATCATCCATTAACCATACTAAATTCTGGTGGTAGCATACTTAATTTTGCTAGGTTTTTTTGGCAGGGGAGGATTGGGCCAAGGAAGTCATAAGATTAATTTACATTAAAACATTTTAGAGAAATACAGGTTGACTTGACCTTTTAGAATACACAATGTTTTATTACCACATTTTGAAATCCAGTTTAAAAAACCCCACCACATTTCAGTATGCTTACATTTTTTGTTTCTGTTTTATAAATGTCTTTTAATGTCTTCTTAGTTTGACTTTCAGTAGTAAGCAGCACCTGTTATGGCTGAGCTCCTAAAAAACGCTTTTTAATAGAGGAATAATTAAAACATTTTAAAAAGCTAGTGACTTAATTCTGTGATATTTTTCTGTAGACAGGGAGGGAGGAAGGGAGTGAAGTAAGGCAGACATTAGTGTCTTGTGTTAACATGACCCATATAGTACAGCAGTGCATTGATGGTTCACTGGCTGTGATTACGGCTATCATGAATATCTAGTCCCTGATCTACTTAGCTGTTACTCACACAGAGTAGACTTGCATAAAAATACTGTCTAAAATCAGCTTCAAAGTTATTTAACCAGAGTGGTTCATCTGGGAAAAAAACATTTTTTTTAAACTGGAAAATATTTTTTGATAGCTTAGCAGAGCTAAGTCTGACAACAGCCTGAATTATTATTAGTACCTTTACTGTTTTCTTTGGCCCGTGTACTATATTTGTTTAAAAAAAAAAAGACAATAAAAAAGAACAAATGTAAAAAGCAAATATTTTGTACAAAAATACAAAGTTTTAAAAGCTCTTAAAAGTATATTCCATATTATCGATAAGAACTTGACTATATATATATTTATATAAAATCTATATACTATATGTGTGTATCTGTGTAATTTTCCTATATTTGGGATTTTAGCAAATGAAATGTACTGTTTACACTGTAGCTTTATACGTATTTCCTATAGCTCAATGACCAAGAGTCTTACTCAGACTGCTAATTTCATGTTTTTGAAGACAAAACTTGTACACTTGTATGGTCACTGGTTGACAAAAATATGTAACTGATTCAGTCCAATTGCATTTCCAATAAATGCATTTTGCTATGGGTCCAGAATCCTTGAATAATCACAAGATGGCAAAGACGAGTTGCGGCTGAATTCTTTTTTTGCATTAAATCAGTTTTCAGTGCTTCCTTTTCAATTTTGTTAGGAGATGATGAAGTCCCATAGGATTTTTAAGTAATTTGTATTTGTGTCTCTAAATTCACAGCCTATTACAATCCAGGTGCCTAGGCTACAGTGAGAGAAAGAAAGAAAGAAAGAAAGAAAAAAAAAAAGAAGGAACATAGGTGAAAGGCTTGTAAAGGTAAAACAAATTATCCGCAAGGAGGTTTATTGAATTCAAGGAATCTTGGAAAATTCTATCATACGAGTCTAGGTTTCCAAGAAACATAACTTTTTAAAATATGACCCATAATCAGATATTGTACACCTCCAACAACTAATCTTTTCAAAACCTAAAGTTCTGCTAATATAATACGTATTTATCTAGGAAGAAAAGAGAACTCTATGCACAAGCAATTCCTCAATCTACACAAACAGATGTGGATTATGCACATGAAGAGTGTACATATGTTTTTTGTGGACGCTACCTAAAAGCCAGTATCTGAAAGTTTGAATCCAGCTGGGAGTTTCTACCACATCCCATGAAATTCTACCTATGTATTTGCAATCACAGCAGCCAGACATTCATATGACACGCACAAAAAATTCTGAAAAAAGCTTTTAAACAATTAATGTTTCTGGCACACTGTAAAATAGTTTCTTTAAACAAGGTAATCATCAGAACAAAAATATTATGGGCCAGATCTGAGCTCTAGCAATGATCATGGAGCAGAGCCCTAAGCAGCTCTGTGGCGCAACAGGGTCCAATTGTAAGTGCATCACTAGATCTAGAAGGAGACTCTAGTACCTATGTGTCTGCTCAGTAAAACAGGCAGTCTGTGATTCCACCCTGCCCAGCTGCCACAGAGCTGTCAGCTAGAGAACGTGGACAGGGTCCACACTCCCCTCCAGCAGTCAGAGTGGGTGGGTGGGTGGGTGGGAGTTTAAGGAGAGAGGCCCAGTAGTTGCCAAACCCTTCCCATCAGCAGGGACTCCTTATGCTTCTTGGGGCTAGATCAGTGTAGAGCTGTTACAGGCGACAGAGTTTTCATTTGCAAGAAGTTTGTCCTCCCCGTAAAGCAGCTACACAGCATCTGCCCATACGCAATCGGTATGGCTCTCCTCTCCCCCATGGTGTAATCATTACTCCTAAGGGCATTCTGCGCCAAAAATATAAAAATTCTGAAAAATTCTGCAAATTTTATTTGTCAAATAAATGTGGAGGCTCCAGCATGTCACTGGGGAGCACAAGCCACTGGCTGCACAGAGGTAGGAGATCACTCTGCAGCTCCCCCATGGGACATGGCTCAGCAGTGAGCCTGCACCCAACTCTGACACAGCACAAGGACCGAACCTGCCCCAGAAACACCCCAGGGCTCTGCCCCTCCATGCCAGGTGCACTAGGTGTGGGCAGGCAGGCTCACCCTGGCAGGATCCAAGTGTGAGGGGATCCAGGTGTGGATTGAGAGGGTTCTATGTGGGACAATCTGGGTGTGGAAGGTGATCTAGATACACGAGGGCTTGTTGGGGTGTTCTGGGTGCAATGGTAATGGGACTCTGCAGGGGGGGTCCAGGTGAAGGTGGTTGAGGCTCAGCTGGGCAGGGTCTGGATGCGTGTGTGGTTGATAGAGCTTGGCGGGGGGTCTGGATGTGAGCGGTTCAGTACGCAGTCCAGATGCTGGAGGTGTGGAGCTCAGTGGGGTGGGGATCCAGGTGCAGCTGGTTGTGCATGTCTGTTGGGGCTGGGGGGGGGTGAGGCTTGGCGGGAGGGTCTGGGCATGAGGGGGTCTGGATGCACAGGGGTTGGGCAGATGGGGGAGCAGCTCCCCGTGCATTGATCCCTCCCCCTGCAGCTAAGAAGGGATGGGTGGGGAGTTTGCAGAGCTTCCTGCACCCTGGGGAGAAATCTTGGGGTGGGTCTGACCCATCCCCGGATGCCATGCAGGGAAGAGGAAGTCCTGTCTTCCCCGGGACTAGCAACTGAGCCCAGCACAGGGTAGGAGCCACCAGCCCCACCCTCTGCCCCACAGTGATTTACCTCTCTGCCTGGGCATCCAAAATATACTGCTGGGGAGGGTCACATGACTGCTCTTGTGGCTTTCCTTTGCTTCCCCATCAGAAAGTCATTTTTTTGAGAGGAAGCAAAGAAATCTGTGGGAGACATGAATTCTGCACATGCGCAGTGGCGCATAATTCCCTAGGAGTAAATCATGGCTCTTTGTGACTATGATGAAACTCTTTTAATTGAACACTTAGCTTACCTTTGTCCATGTCTTTTTCACAAATAAAACTGTTAACATCTTCACATTGAAAGTCATTCCAGAGCCCAGCAGAGATTAATCCAGCACAATCTTCCCCTGGCCCTTGTCCAGTACTCCAGTTATCAGGCTGCCCACTTTTCCAGTTTCTTTCAACAAAATAAGAAGTAGATGTTAAGTGGCATCACATGATAGTTTTCCATGCACAACAAAAGAGATTAGCAAAAAGTATCATGAGATCTGCTCTGAACTGGAAATACACTCTTCAAAAAACATTACATGACTCTTCCTGAAAATGGAAAACAGAGACAGGAATCTACTCAGCCTTTGTCTGTCACGGCGTAAAGTTTAAAATTAGACCAGTGAGCTCTATTTTGGTTTGTGGATGTACATGCAAGTGTGATGAGGGTACATGCCATATGCACATGGCACCATTCCTCCACGGTATCCGTCTACTTCATTCTTACCAGTGGATGGTACAGAAACATCCAAGATTCTGCCTAATGGATTCTTGTGTATTTCAATACCTTGCCTGCTAAAAAGAACTCAAAAGGGACATAGAGGAGAAAGGTGGCAAACTATGTACCTATTATTGGAAAGAAACTGAGATCCTGTCTTGATTGTGATGGGCCTCTCCAGCTGCAAAGCAGGGATTTGTCTATCTTTCAGACCTCATTTTGGATGAAAAATTAATTTTCAGACTCAGAAGGAATTTTTAAAAGTTGGCTTTATTTGGAGGCCAGTAACCTTGATAGTGAAACTTGACCCAGTACTTAGTGCCTTTGCTTGGTGGAGCAAAACTCTTGATTCTGTTTTCATTTAATAAATGAGATATGCTTCCAGTCTCAAAACAAAAGCTCAGTTTTCTTAAAGAAACAGGTTGTTGAACAGAAGCTTGTGGTTGCTGGCTGAAATGGTGCCATAAGCAGTTAAATAACATGCCTGCCTGATACAGAGGGTCTGACCAAGCATCTGGGAAGAAACACAGACTTCCAGAAATAATGAATCACATTCAGTGACAGACAGTTCTGAGGTCACTAGAGGACACCTTTAAAGCGCAGCACAAGAGAAATCTTCAGTGACACAGGCCTTAGGTTTGCTGTAGCAATCTGAAGTTGAGATAAGTATAATGGTATAGGATTTACCAAAACCAGATCTTTTTTCCATGTTCCTCATGAAAGTGGCCACAAATTAGACACATGGAAAACATTAATAACAAATACAAATGATTTAGCCTATTTTTCTGGGGTGCTGCATGCTGAGATTTATAATCTCTATGGTCTACTCCATTGTATTAAAAATTAAGGTGGCTGCAACCTGCTCCATTTAATACCAAATGGTGCATCCCTTGGATGCCTGGCTACCTGCTAATGCAGCCCTCAGCTTGCCAAAGTTTGGACATCCTTGCTTTATACCTTCTCCTTCTGTTTAATACCTTGTGTTTGGGTTTTATCTAATAGTTAGTCCTTTCATTTTTTTTAGTCAGAATGAGCTCTCTATTTATGGCCAGTTGTAATGTAAACAAGGAAAATTTAAACCAAGACCAAAGAGCTGTCTGGGCTCTCCACCCCCACTTTGTAAAAACACTGGCAAGCAGTATCAGGCTGTACGGTTGTGTGATTCTTTCATTTAATATTCCATTTTCCATTTTCCTTTTGGCAAGGAGATAAAGCCTTGTGCATGGAGAAAGGAGGGGGGTAGGAAAAACAATATTCAGCAACACTTCCAGATAAAGTATTGCTTCACTGACATCCAGTAACTCATCTCTAGATACTGCAGATCTCTAGTAAAGTGGCGGCAAGAACAGTAGCACTCTGTAGAAAATAAACAACATGGTTCTTTTCAACACATACGTGTACTCTGGTAAGGTTCCATCCAGCCATCTCCACTCATTCTCTTGCTCTGAATCTGTGAGCCCAATCCAGAAGTTGCCTTTCCCAGCAATCTGCCTTTTTATCCATTGCTGTGAGTGAAAGAATTCTGTGATTGCATTTTTCTGTTTCTCAGACCATACAATTACTTGCTTTGTGTAGATTTTGCTTTTTCGAAAATAGAATAAGAACAGTGTTCTTCTCCTTCCCATTCCCAATGCTCAACCACCTCGCTTCCTTGTGGGTTACCTCTTCCTTCTAATTTTGGGTCTTACTCTCCTTTGCTCTCACTCTGGGGATGCTGCTCGCACCTCTGGTAGTGACTGCAGTAATCAAAGGGCACTTTGGTAATTATTACTCCCTCTTGTCACCGAAGAATGCTCTCTCTCCTGAAAGGGTTCCTTACTGGCTGGAACTTCCTTCCCTCCCTCAAAGACAGACCTTAATTTGTAACAACATCCGAAATGGTTCTTATGGTTTGCTCCAGAGATAATCTGTACTATTCCTGCTTTACGAGGGATCACCATTGCTAATGTACAAATGATTATGGAAGGTTTATGCAGCTGTAGATGTATTTTAGGGCCTGATTCTGCAAACTTAACTGACAAAAAGGCATTATTTGTCTGTGAGTAAGACCAAAAAGGCACTAGACTCAATGGCACTATTTGTCTGTGGGTAAGAACTCCCCGCGAAAACTGGGTGGTTAGAAGGCCACCGCCCGTATTTTTTTTAACTAAGAAAAAGAATAAGCAGTTATACTTTATTGCACCACTCCTGCATGGCAGGGGTATGTCTGACTACCAAACAATTATACCACATAATAATGTAAGGTATGGTTTTTATTCATTATTGCTTCTCTGCCTATAAAAGACTTAATAGACTTTATTTAAGATCATAATAAAGGCTTACGTTGTCTATCTTAAAGATTGAATTTAAAAATAACTACTTACAACATGGAAAAAATGTGTTTCAGATAATAGGCCACTAACAATGGGCCTGATTCTGAAAGGGGCTGAGCACCCACAACTCCCATTGAATTTACTGGAAGTGGCAGGTGTTCAGCAATTTCAGGATCAGGCCCATTGACTCCTATGTTGCTCCTTTTCACAGGACGTGCTGAGCAGACATGCGAGTACAGTGTTCTGGAATGGGGTAAGTCGGTGTTTTCACTTCACCATATGAATCCATGATATTCTCAGCTTCCCTATTGCTGTGTAGTTTCCAGACTCAAAATACTTTCAAACCTTATACCTCAAGCCTTCAGAACAGCAGGTGATGTTATTTACCTGCTCCTCTTTGTTGTTTATGATAACCAGATGTGAGGACTTCTCATCACAGAAAACTTTTGCATCTTCAAAAATTTCTCTTTCAGATGAAAAGTAGTAGCATTTTTCTGTAAAGTTCTTCCAGTGAGCAGAACAACCTGTGACAGGAAACCCTGCTGTTAAACTGGGGATTTCAAACTCTCCTACAGCATGGCGGCATCTGAAATACTTAGGGGCTGAGTCAGTGAATATGCACATATCAGAAATCTGCACCAGAACGCAGAATATAGCTGACTTAACCTGCATGCCCAGAGGACTGCTCATTCCTCATTGCATTGCTGCCATCTCTTTAGAGATGAGGCATTTTAATCAAACTCCAGAGCAGCTGACAGAAGTCAGGCAGACACAGCTTTGCTAGGTAAGCTAGAGTTCCACGCTAAGAATCTTTGAGAACGAGTGTGTCTAAGCAAAAGATAATAGAAATTAACATTCGCCCACTATCATGATGGCAGGTGCACTAAAAACGGCTTCTTGGGCAGAGGGGCATATAAGTAGAAAAGTAGGTGGGTGAGTAGATAGCTTACCATTCGCCTCAGGTATTGATGTTGGCTCACTTTTCAGTGCCATAGGCATCCCTGGACCTGGTGGCCCAGGTGGCCCAGGCGGCCCAGGCATCCCTGGTATGCCAGGCAGACCAGGCAGTCCTCGAGGTCCAGGTACCCCGGGCTCTCCAACAGTTCCTTGCAATCCTTGAAATCCAGGTGGACCTTGTGGACCTGGAGGACCATCTTTGCCAGGTGGTCCTGGTGGTCCAGGGTCTCCATTAGGTCCTGGCAGACCAGTCTTGCCAGTAGAACCTCTCTGACCTTTGGAGCCAGGTGATCCTCTTGAACCTTTCCCACCTTTTTCTCCTGGTAGCCCGATTGGCCCAACTGGGCCCTTTTCACCGGCAGGTCCTGGTGGCCCTGGCTCACCTTTTTCTCCTTTTTGCCCTTTTAGACCAGTGGGACCAAGAGGCCCTTGGGGTCCCCTCTCCCCTTTAGGTCCCCTTGGACCTGGAGGTCCTGAAACAATTTAAACATGCAGAGGAGGGAAACAAAAAACAGGAAGAGTGTTCAATATACCTGAGATTAACAACGTTGGACATTCAATACACTGCAAGCCCAAGCTACTCAAGTAGCCAATGTAAAAATACAGTTGGTTTAGAAAAAGGAGGTGAATCTCTTCACAATCATTAGTTATATATTATTTCTTATTGAGCCTCCACAAGACACTTGATGCTGTAAAGAAAACCTGGGCCCTGCCAGACAGAACTTGTAATTTACGTTAAACAGACACATAGTACCCCAGATCAGATGAGCCTCGGTTCTCAAACAGATACGGTTATCATTTGCTTTCTAAAAGTTGTGTTATGTGTTTTTTGTCTTTGGCGGATTGACACTGATGGGATTCATGGCAGCCTTAAGAAGGGATTTGAATGAAAAGAAAGAGCGATTGTTTGGGACACAAGAATAAAGGTTTTTTAATTTGAAGGAGCAGGATGAAAGAAGGGGTAAAGACAACAGTGGAAGGAGGTGGCAAAAAGGATGTTTAGGAGGGCAGTTTGGAGGAGGTTAGCAGTCTGTATGTGAGTGTGGGGGGATAGAGTAAGGAAGTGAGATATGAGGGTGGGGCAGAACTGTGCAGGGCTTAAAGGTGAAGATCTCTCTCAATTTTTAATAGGTGCCTCCCAAAGCAGCAGCCATTGTGGATCACTGGTCCCTGAAATATGAGGCTTACTGCAAACCATGATTTCCCCCAAATCTATCTTCTTTCCCATCTTATCCTTTCACTCTTCCTTCTGTTCTCTTTCCTCTTCTACTCCCCCTTTGTTATGTTCTTTCTCCCTTTCTTCTATTCTCCCTGTTGCTTCCAACCACGCCTCTCCTTTCACTCTAATAGTAAGATGTAGTCAGTGACAGCAGCACTGTCTTGGTGTGGAACCTGCATGGGATTTAGCAGTGACATGCTGGGATAGTGGAACGAGGTCCAAAAAAGAGAGAGACCAAAAGCAGAATGCCCCACAATGTCAGGGAGGCTTGAGAGTTATTGCACCACATGTTTATTATGAAGCAAGAAGCAGACTGGGAGTGAACCATAGACCAGCTGAATGATGAAAGGGAGAATAAAGGAGCTATGGTCTATTTGAGAATCATGGGATGGATGGGTAGTGAGAAATAAGCCAACTGGGGGGTTAATGGAAAGACTAACAGAATGCTACCTACTGGATATTTATAGAAGGACAGAGCACCAGTCATAGCAGGAGATGAGAAGACAGTGAGAAGGAGTGGTCTTCCATATTTTATCATTAAAGCAGGTTTGGATTCTGTTCATGGATAAGCACATCTCAGTAAATTTTTTTCCCCAAAATCTATCCCGTTTAATCTCCATCAAGGTTAAGCTCCTAACATGTCTCTGAAAATGGAGGCAGCTACTTCTGTGTGAAATGAGACCAGGTAAGAAAGGTGCTCTGGACTCACATGCACCACGGACTGTGCTTTTATCTATTCCGAGGGAGGGTTTTATTTCTGTGACCAGTAGAGTTGCCAGTTTTGGTTGGACGTATTCCTGGAGGTTTCATCACATAAAGATTAATATTTAATTCCTGGAAACTCCAGGACAATCCTGTAGGATTGGCAGCCCAAGTAATCAGGGTTTAAGACCTGGTTCAAATCAGCAATATGGAATATTAACTTCATTCAGAAGAATACTTGGCTTAGAAGACAAAAAAAAAAAAAAAAAAAAGCTCAACAACTTTGTGTGTATATTTACTTCTGAAGAAAATAAAGTATCCTTTGATGAAAAGAAACAGGAGGTTTCCCAGCCTGTTCCCAGCTGGCTTAAAACAAAATAGTTTTACTTTTTCACTAAGGGTGACCTCTCTGGGAATGATCCAGTTTTGTATTGTTCAGCTATTTCCTCCTTAGCAGGGATTGGTTTCTTGAGGTTTCCACCTCCTCCACAACTATTATGGATTACTTTAGACTAGTGGCTCTCAACCCACGTCCCAATCAGCACACAGCTGCAGCCTATGTGACATCCTGGGCCATACAGGTAGTATATATATTGTGTCAATGTGGCCCACATAACACAGAGAGAGCTGCATATGCAGTCCACAATGGCAAAGAGGTTGAGAACCACTGCTTTAGACGATAGTTCAAAAGCAGACCCAACAGTCAGAATAAAATTTAACCAACCTATAACTTTCTTTCACAACATTCCAATTTCAGGCCGGTAAAGGAGGGAAGGGAATATTGGGTTGAAAAATTTAAACCAAACTTACATCTCCCAGGTTTAGAATTAGATAATGGAACAGATAAGGTCTGTGTCCCAGTATAAACTGGAAAAAGGACTTTCATAAAATGAAAGACTAATTTTTTTTTATTAAAGATTAAACTAAGGATCCCTTTCTCTGACAACGATGCAGGGAGAAGCCAAAGTCCAGGACAGCACATTCCAAAGAGAGTAGGTAATTGATAACATCTGTGTTCTCCTGGTCAATGTTTCCTTTCTTAGGGCTAGATTTGACCAGAGGTACTGTCAGGCACATTAGAGGGGTTGCAGAAGGGTTATGCAGCAGCCAAAGCCCTGGTCACAAGGCCGACAGGAAGCACTGGGCAGGCCAGGCCTGGTGTGTGGGAAGTGCAGGAATGGAAGATTTGCATTGTGCAAATCCTCTGGACCTTCACCTTGCAGAACAGGGCAGCAGGAGCTCTGAGAACTATAGCAATCTTATCGCAGTCACACAGTTGCTTTGCTGCTGCTCCTTGGACAACGTGGGGTGTGTTCTTTCTCCCCATGCCCTCACAAACTACCTCTCTTGCAACTCAGCTATTCAGGCTTTGTTCAGGAGAAAATTTAACCCATAATAAAAAAAAAGTTGAAGTATTTTGATGTTATTTAAAGCAAGTAAAACCCATGTGTTGCTAAGACGTACAACTTGAGGTATAGATTGAAATTCATCTTACCTTGCAGTATTGTGAAGTTCTTGATGAGCTGACCATGTTTGGAATCTACCAGCTTCATTTCTTCCATAATTAGTGATAAATTTGCAACTTCAATATCTAATCTTGATCTCATCACATCCTGTTGCATCCTGAGAGATGTAGAATCTAAACGAATATTGGCTAGCGTGTTGTTCATAAAAGTCAGGTCATCTGTGTGTTTACTTAAGGTGTCTGTACAAGTTGTCCTGACCTCATTGAGATTGCTAGTCAGTGTCCGCAGGTGATGCGCAGTATAGCTGATGTTGCTAATGATATTGACTATATCTGTCTCAAAGAGCTGAAAGCGCTCTTCTAGCTGGTTAAACTTGGCAGAAGTTCTGTTCTCATAATCTTTATGATGCTCCTGCAGATCCTTAAGATTTTGTTCATTGGCTTGTGCAACTGTAGTGATGTTCTCCATTTGCCCACTGAATGAGCTAAGTTGACTGTTCATGTCTTCAAGTGTATCATTATTAGCTTTGGCTAAGGCTGAGTTGTTGACTGCTAACATCTGTAAATTTTGCACTTTCTCCTTAAGCCAATCAGTGTCCTTTCGTGCTTGAAGGACAACCTGTTGCAGATTTTGAAAGTCATTCTTGATTCTTTGGATAGCCTGACTTGTATCATCCACAGACCTCTGCAAAACACTGATAAGATTTCTTTGCTGAACTTGTGTCAGATTTAAGTTGTTTAGATTCATGATGACCACATTATGAGAATGCATTTGGCTTTGCAAATTTGTTTGGATATTACTTGTGTCTTGTTGGAGATTGTTGATATAGCCAGTGTATGCTTGGAGAGTTTTATTGACACTGATGATCATGAAAGAGTTGCTATCCAAGACACCTTTCATTTGGCTCTGCCTGTCATCTAATACGTTTCCAGAATCTTGTAGCTTCTCCAGTGTATCCTTGTTTTTGGTGGTTTTCTCTGCAATCTCCTGAAGCTGCTGGCGAAGAGCCAGAATATCAGATCTGAAGCTAGAAAGTTCTTTGTTAGTGCTCATATCTTTTTGTCCAGTTTCATCATCTATTAAAGAGGGAAATTTTTAAAAGCATTAGCTTTGTTTGTTTGTTTTTTAAGCACAATATAAAAAGACTCTTTCCTGCCCTGTAAATGCTGTATCTAAGAGTGGTCAGGCAATTAAAGTGTGCACTTGGTGAAACATTCAATTGTCACTTTTCTAAAAACAGATGCTCTAGGGTCTAATTCTGCCCCCAGACACACGAAGTTAACTGCTGTTGAAGCCAATGGAATGCGACCCTTTGTCTTGCCCAGTGGAATAGAATGATGGTTCTATTGTCAATACTGTTTATATATGTTCATTTAAACATGATTGTTTTACTTTCTTTTAAAAATTAACTTTTAGAGAGAGTGGTGAATAGGTGAAATATAGTACTGCTACTGTACTGAAGAAAAAATTGGATGATTAAGTGGAGTTCAATACGTTGAAGCGGTGTAAGTAAGGAGCTGATGGCCCTTTCTGGTGTAAAGCACAGCAGGCTCAATCCCATGCCTGCAGAGCTGCCAGGTAGTGGGCACCACCCCTATTGCTACCTAGCAACAGCTGTAGCTTGCTTATGCTCCAGCACCCATGACCTGCTGTGGATACAGACCAAGGATCCTGGATCCTTCCAGCTCAAGTGCCACTTCTTGCCTGTCACACATATCCCACATTCCTCACAGTGCTGCTCATGCCTGCCTCCTGCTATGCCCTAGGGTTACCACCTCTGAAAACAAAAAAAGAACCCCAAACGGCAATCCACCCCCCAACAAGTTAAGCCTGCCCAACTCCAAGCCCCAACCACAAGGAAAAAACTCCTCAATCCCCACCTCCCGACCCCGCGTCAACAACCTCTTATAGTATTTCGAGAGAGAACACATATAGATAGGATTGATAACATCATTTTCTTACTTAAACTGTGGAAGTGGGAACACTGTGAGCATCTTTAGCTGGACACAAAAATGTTTAACATTAGATATCCCAGTGTACTGAGATGATATTGGAAATCTTTAGACCCACGTAAAAAAAACAAAACAAAAAACCCCCACGCCAGCAGATAAAATTATTTTTCTGGCAACTGGCAAATCCACTAAAAAACCATGCTCCTTCTATGCTCCCATACCAACCAGCTGTATGGGAGCATAGAAGGAGCATAATCCTTCTATGCTCCCATAGAGCTCTACAATCCTATGACCTGTCCCACTGTGATAGAGTATTTACACCACACAAGGCCTAAGTAAGTAAAAAGGACCAATTAACCCTGTGATGGCTGTACCTGGAGGAGAGTCAGGACTGATAAGATCTAACTGATAAATCCCAGCTGGGCAGGGGCAGGCTGAGGTGGTATAAAACCAGGAAGTAGCAAGGAAGAAGGGAGTTGCAGGACGGAATACTGTAGTCACTTCCTCTAGAGGAGTTGATCTACGGGGAGAGTAAACCCTGGGATTCTGCCTCAGACTCCAGACTTTGGCAAGAGCCTGGGAAGAGTGAAATAGCATCAGGGAGCTCCAATGGTTACCCAGAGGGGGGCAGAGCTAGAGAAGAAAGGTAGGAAGGAGCCCAGGCAAACAGCAACATGGTCAGGGATGGCTTAGGCTGTGGTTACTAGACATACAGTTCTTGGGCTGGAATCTGGAGTAGAGGGTTGGCCTGGGTTCCCCTACCAGCCACTGGGAAAGAAGGAGCAATTTGAGTCCAGCAGGAGAGAGACTGGATGAGCAACAAAATAAGTCTGGTTGAGAGCTAATACCCAGCTGTGGCCACAAGGAGGTGCCACAGTGGTGAGTAGATACCATCTGACCCTCACATTTTCCCTGTGCCAGCCCCACCCCCCAACTCCCCTCCTAGAGCCCCCTTACTAATATGCCCCACAGATATTGCCCCCATGTTTTTTTAAATATTTAAACTTTTAGAACTTTTTAAATGGGAGTTGACTTAAATAGGAATTGATGGGGCTAATCACTCCTTAGATCTGGCCATATGATACATACTACAGAGTACAAACAATGCTTAGAAATGAATTTGATCACAACAGTTCCAGACTATGATTGATTAACTTAAATCACAGAATAAGAGAAGGCTGTATGTGCTTTTAGCTGTAACATTCCCTTCCTATGAATTCACCACTGCAAACACAGGACTTTGAATAACTTCATTAACATACAGTTTATGGACATCTTTTATTGAGAAGCCATTAGAGTTTTTCTTATGACTGAACTGCAAACTAAAGAGCTTTCCTCACTTAATATACTGTAAATATCTATAAAACCTTTCCAGATCGATGGGTCCTACCCATGCCTATGGCAACATGTGTTGTACCTCATCCAGTGCATTAAATGCTCCACTAACAACTACGTAGGTGAAACCAGACAATCACTACACTCGCAAATGAACTCACACAGGACAATGATAAAAGACAAAAACATCACATCAACTGTGGACGAACACTTTTCACAAAACAATTACTCTATATCTGACCCCAGTCCTCATCCTCAGAGGAAACCTGCCCAACACTTTCAAAAGATGAGCCTGGGAGCTTAAATTCATAACTTTGATAGACAGTAAAAATCATGATCTTAATAAAGACAAAAAGAAAAGGAGTACTTGTGGCACCTTAGAGACTAATCAATTTATTTGAGCATAAGCTTTCATGAGCTACAGCTCACTTCATCAGATGCATCCGATGAAGTGAGCTGTAGCTCACGAAAAACTTATGCTCAAATAAATTGGTTAGTCTCTAAGGTGCCACAAGTACTCCTTCTCTTTTTGCGAATACAGACTAACACGGCTGTTACTCTGAAACCTGTCATTAATAAAGACACTGTATTTATATCTTATTACAACAATCTGTAACCCACCAATCTCCCATTTTTGTCCTATGACTATAGGGGTGTTTATGGGCTAAGTCACCTTGAATGGTCCCTTAGTTTAGCATAAGTAGACATATTTTATCTGTTCAACCTTGTATTTAGCTGTGACAATCTGAGTACCTTTCCCAGACGTGAAAGAGCTCTGCGTTGCTCGAAAGCTTCTCTCTCTCACAAGAGAAGTTAGTCCTTATATAATGCTTTTAATGAATATCTGGAGCTTCCTTTTCAGTGGTGCAGAGGAGGAAGGCTAGAAACGTACAGTGAAGAAAATACTTTCTACACCACTTATCTCTTTTCTTCAAAGTTGGGCGTGTGATATCACGTGGGAGATCTACATTTATAACTGCATGACTTGTACTTCCCCTGATGACTGACGGTGCTCAAAGTGGTTTGAAAAAAAGTGGTGGTGGTTGTCGGGGGGGTGTCTCATCACCCACCCATCTGCCAGTCCCCCTGCTCAGCAACCAACTCTGCCCCTTGGCCCCAAATCGATCCTGTTTCTGTGGTCCCCACATCAGCTCTGCCCCCCTACGGCTCTCCCCTCTTCCCCCATCAGTTCTGAATCCCCTGTAGCTCCTGGTGTTCTTCACCCCCACTTCCAGGCCTGAAGGGGGCTGCACTAGAGTCCCTTCTCTCCGTTCCCAGGCTGGGTGTTGCAGGGAGAAGAGCAGAGGAGCCATCCTGTTGCTCGCAGAAGGGGAAGGGAGAAGAGGAAACAGAGCTACTCTCAGCTGCTTAACTCTTTCTGCTCTTCCCACTCCTTCTGGGAGAATGATGTTGGATTGCTGAGGGAGTGGGGGAGAGCTCTCCCTGCTTCAAGAAGCCAATCAGGGGTCCATCCCGTCCATCCGTCCCCCCGCAGACAGTATTAAAACTGTGCCCTTCAGTGGCCCGGCTTGCTTTTTAGAAATCTTATTTCCTGGGTCTGTGACCTGTTTCCACCCAGCACACTTTAAGCACTAATGACCGATGAAGTGCATCTCCTACAAGTGATGTTTTTGCCTCTGAGGTGAGGGTTAAACATATGCCATTTTTGAACATCTCTGGGCATGGACTCCAGATTTGGAATTTATCTACTAAACATCAGCTCAAAGATTACTGGGTGGGTGAAGACTTTCATTCTTAAGAGTCTCTTCTTTTGTCCATCAATATTTGCATCACTTTACAGCTCTGATTCAGAAAATCATTCCTATTCAGGACAGCTCATAAGCACATCCTGAAGTCCCTTTGATTTCAATATGGTTTCCGTGGGATTGGATGTGATTAAGAGCTGTCCAGAATCGGGAACTAAAATTTAAGATGGAATGGATATGCAGGTATTTGGCCACCTGTTCATCAGACAGATCTGTGGAGATAGAGAACTCTTATCCACTGATATATCTCCCAAAATAATACCACACAAGGACATGCAAATAGGCTGCCTTATCTGGCTTTCAGTTATGTGGAGATTACCTAATTTCTTCAGACCACTCTCCACTTCTGTGAGTTTTTCAGTATATCTTCTGTGGGATGTCTCCATGCCACCTGTAACGTTGTCCATTTTTTCTACAACTGGAAAATTGAGAACAGTGTTAACAGGCATTTACATGTGTAATTTTTGTAGGTTTCATTGTGAGAAGTTCCAACTATGAGATATGGTGTAAGTAATGAGATTTTTATAACAAGTCATATAGATGAACAGTAAACAAGAGTGTAGTAAATAATGAAAAATACAAAATATTTGGGGTCAAGCATAGAAAATACTTTTTTTAAAAAAACAAACAATTAATTTGCTTTCCACTACTCTGCATAACGTCAGAACCGTGTATTCTCTTCTGCTCATATGACCGTGTGCTCTGCTAAGAAGTTAACCACTATGCTTCAACCAAATATTTCTTTTGGTAACAAACAGATTCATCTCATGAATGAAGATTCTTCTGAGTCTTCCTCTTCAATCAATTAATATTTTATAATATTTAACTACTAAAGGTGTCTCATTGTCTAATGAAGGCATGTTGTATGCTTGAGGCTTGTTACCTCGCTTGCAGCAGACTCCCTCTCACTCTCCCGTGGGCCACTTCCATTTAGATGGACCAAATAATTTTCTGATTCTTTTAATCATTATGAACTACATCCTAGCTACTAAGTGTGGAGGCTATAGAACATATATCAAGTGCTGTTCTTAAATAATGTCTTCTGAAAAGTGATGGAGCTTTAAAACTCCTAATAACAATTTAAGGACATTTAATTAAACAGCAGTTTTAAAATAATTCTGATTTGCAAGGGTTTAAACTATGGTCATTCAGCCCAGCCTGGACATATAGCTGTTCCCAATTTGCTCTTGGCTTGGGGAGGTTTGAGTTGTTTTCCTGGCAGTTACGCATTCTGTTGCTTTTCATGGCAACAGTATGTGTACGGAAGAAGGAAAGAGCCAGAAATGAAAAGTTCCAGAAAGCTCAAAGTGCTAAATATATATTTATAAATTGTTACAAGAAAGGGAGGAAATTGAATGCTTCAGAGGCTAGATTCTGCCTTGATAAGGTTGCCAACTTTCTAACTGCACAAAACTGAACAGCCTTGCCCTGCCCTGGCCTCGCCCCTGCCCTGAGGCCTCACACCTTCTCCGTGGCCCTGCCCCCACTCACTCCATCCCCACTCTGTCCATCGCTCGCTCTCCCCTACCCTCACTCACTTTCAGTGGGCCAGGGCAGGGGGTTGGGGTGCAAGAGGGGGTGAGGATTCCGGCTGGAGGTGCAGGCTTTGGGGTGGGGCCAGGGATGAGGGGTTTGGGGTGCAGGAGGGGGCTACGGGCTGGGGCAGGGGTGCAGGAGGGAGTGCGGGGTGCGGGCTCCAGGAGGGCTTGTATGTGTGGGAGAGGGCTCAGGGCTGGGGCAGGGAGATTGGGGTACAGGGAGGGGTGTGGGCTTTGGGGGGGAGTTAGGGTGCAGGAGGGGGTTACGACCTGGGACAGGAGGTTGGGGTGCAGGAACAGGGTTCGGGGTGAGGCTCCGGCCGGCTGGCACTCACCTCAGGCGGCTCACGGAAGCAGCCGGCATGTCCGGTTCCTATGCAGAGGGGTCAGGAGGCTCTGCGCACTGCATGCACTTGCAGGCGCCGTCCCGGCAGCTCCCACTGACCACAGTTCCTAGCCAATGGGAGCTGCGGAGCTGGTGCTCAGAGCGGGGACACCACACGGAGCCCCTGTGGCTACCCCTATGTCTAGGAGCTGGACATGCCAGTCATTTCCGGGAGCTGTGCAGAACCAGGGCAGGCAGGGAGACTGCCTTGGCCCTGCTGCGCCACTGACCGGACTTTTTTAGCAGCCTGGTCAGCAGTGCTGACCGGAGCTGCCAAGGTCCCTTTTCAACTGGGCATTCCAGTTTAAAACTGGATGCCTGGCAACCCTATGGCTTGACCTTCAAGTCCATGTCCATTTTCAGTTTGGTGTCTGTGTATTCAAATCACAGCTAAGGCCAGAAGGTTCTGTCCTATACGCAGATTATTTAGCCTCTGGCCAGAGAGGATCTGCACCACCCCACGAGGGATTCCAGAAGACATTGTGCTGCATTGTGTCACTCCTCCAGTCCCCTAGCATGTGGCAGAAGAGGTGCTGCACCAGGCCTTCGGATGAGCCAGTGTGGAGGTAGGGGACAAAGCCATACCTCTGCCTCCTCCCTATGCCTTTCCACCCTCTTTGGGGGTGATTTATAACCTGGCAGGATCTACAAAAGAGCAGTTGCCTGTGTTCCCCCAAGCGCAAGTAGGGGGGACCCTGGTACTGGGAGTGTAACTTCATGAGCCCTCCTCCTACTCTTTGCACTCATGCAAAGGTCATACACAATCTGGCACTTTAATCTGTGGCAGCCAAGGGGTCCTTGTCCCTTTATTAATCTTCCATCTTATTTTTTTGAAGATACGTACAGGTATATAGCAGGATTTTCATGGGTCCATGCTGCTTCAAAAACATAAACCAAACAGACAGCTAGGGCTACAGTCATCTCTGGGCTAACTACACTGAAGTCAGGGGTTACTTTGGCCCTGTCACAGAGTGATAGCAATCAGCACCTGAACCAACACTCTGATCACTATTTAACCAGTTAGGGGCTGGGGAAGGGCCTGGTTTAAGCTGACCAGACAGCAAGTGTGAAAAATCAGGAGAGGGAGTGTGTGGGGGGGTAATAGGACCTTATTTCAGAAAAAGCCCCAAATATCAGGACTGTCCCTGTAAAATTGAAACATCTAGTCACCCTAGCCTGGTTACAGAGAGGAGTTCCTGATTACCAGATCAGGTTGGGGCTGGGTAGCTAATAAGCTAATTTACGAGGAGCCAGGATAAAAGAGCACAGGGGTCAGGTGGACACCTCCTCAGGCTGTTTGCTAATCAGGCACAAGTTGGTGAAACCCCACCAGATACTTCCTGGAGCAAGAGTGAGGCTTGAATATACATGGGGATAAGAAATTCTGCCTTATGGCACAAGGGCCTCTGGAAGTTCAGGGGAAGTTTAAATGGAAGTGGGCTGGGGTAGTGGATTGGTTGCCACACCCTTTCATGTTAGGCACGGACTGGAACCCCTTCCCATTAGAAAAGCAAAGGGGTATCCAGAAACCCCAGAGGGATGGAATTTAACCCACGGGGAAGGGAAAAGAGCCATTAAAACACTGCAGTGTTGGAAAATAGACAGGAGAACACAAGCCAGAGAGAAAGTAAAGAAAGGGGAATACCCAGTGAGATGAAGTGGGAGGGGGAAAAATAAGGAAGTAGTCTCAGGAGACAAAGGCAAACTGAGCTCAAGCAGTTATTGGAACAGAGCAGTTCCGAGGGTTGAGGGAACAAGTGACCATGGGAAGAGGAGGAAGGCAAGGCGGGGGGGATGACACACCAGTAGACCCCTCCACAAAACAAAGGGTGAGAACAAGGAGAATGGCCCCCAGGTTGTCCCTGGTGTGAGGACCTGTGGGCCGAAGTGGAATTATGGGGGCTACTTCCACGCAGCACTGCCCCGTCACCGGGCCCAAGGTTGTATGAGGAACTTGAACATTCCTGGGTGGAAAGCTGCCTTGTTTCTCCTTTCCATAATGCCAATGAGCCAGCTATACACACTCCAGTCTGTGTGTGTGTGTATATATATATAAAAAACAAAACAAACACAAAAATAGAGTCAGAGTGCAGAGTTCTGCATTTCAGGACTGAGATGATAGTAGCTGGCCTTCTGAATACAAGATGCAGGCTGATAGGAATCCAGAACCAACACTCACTGTAACAGAAGACATCTGTTTTTTTCTGTCCTTATTCCTAATTTATGTTACTTAGAATTTCTCAGGAACCCAGAAGAGAAATCAGCTATTTCACTGCATGTTCCCTGATCTAGAATGCTTGGATTTCTTTGTCCTCTTCAAGACTGAAGCCTCAGTTCACCAAAGCCTTTAAGCAGGTTTGTAAGTCTACTGACTTCAATGGAACTTAAGATGTGCTTAAATGCTTTGCTGAATCAAGGCCTTAATGGGCATTATCACATCAGTTATGGTTCTTGTTAATCCCTGATGAAAGCAATGCCCAATAACTTTTTTTTCTATATGTTATGCCAGCGGTTCTCAAACTTTAGTAATCCAAGGACCCCCATTTTGATTTAAAATTTTGCCACGGACCCCCAAAACCGCTGCTTAGACCCAGGATCTGCCCTAGTTTGTAACAGTCTGCTCTGAGGCTGACACCCACATTCGTGAGTTATTCCAGACAACCTGACCGCCACCATAGCCCCCTGTCCCTTCTTAGAGGCACAGGCACAGAATTTCACCCAGGGTATATTTAATATTGTTGCTGAAGAATACTGGAGGGTATTTGGGATGTTGAAGTAGTTTAGGCTCAAACTTTAGTATATGTTATAATCTATTGTGGCCTCAAGGAATTGGTGGAAGTCAAATTTGCAGAGACCTTTAAAACTAGCTTGGGTGCAGCAGAGTGGGGAGGCTGCGGGGCAGCTGGTTACAGCTCCAGCAGGCAGATTCTAGGTCTGGTTTTTATGCCAGCCTGGAGTATAATAGAGAGATGTGGAATCTGCTTTAATCTTTGCAGACTGACTGGCCCCTTGAGGTGCTATCGGCCAACCAGGGAATGGCCAAGTGCAGAATGCTCCAGCCATGCCCCTTCCTTACCCTGATACGATCCTTACACTAGGGGTAGCAGTAGGGTGGGACATGAGCTAAAACATGCTGGTTATATACTTGCCAGGAAGATGTGGTTGCTTTTTGGCCCCTCATGCCACTTGGGCAGCATAATAGGTCCAGAGCATAGCAGGAAAACCAGCTGGTTTCTGAGAAGCTAATGTTTTTGGATTTGTAACTTTAATCAGAAAACAGTTATCAACCTTTAAGAAATTTGACTGGCTAGCACATTAGGTGTATATCTAAAAATTGATTCTAATAAGCTCTTGACAGACAAACTGAAGACCTGCCCATAATTTATATTTTTTGATAAAATAAATAATTTCCTGAAGGGGTATAACAAGAGGCCCTATCGAAACTAGATACTACCAGCCAAGATGGCAGTGTCTGAGCTAGGTCCTTAAGCCTTTGAAAGATGTTAATCATCATTAAAGGGTCTTTGTATCATCAGTGGTCCAGTTCCTAGAAAATGCATGAGTCTAAAGCCTATGCGCGTATAACTGGAGATAAGTTTTAAGTAGCAGCCCTGGATCAGGTGGGCTAGATCAGAGAGAGCTCTGGACACAGAGAATTTTTGCTGTATACCGCAGCATGATGCTCAGAGGAGGATCAAAGAGGGCAGTAAGATGTTAGCTATTTACTTCATTAACGGAGACTACTTTATCTAGTTTAGCTGATAAGTGCAAACCCAGATATGTTATACAAACCACTTCTTCTGTTTTAATTCTATTTTCTCTGTCTTTAATAAACTTTGTTTTTGTTAAGATCATTGCTGTATGGGCAATTTTGCACAGACATCCCTTAAGAGATGCAAACCTTGCAACCAACTGCTGAAGGGTAGAATGTCTGGATCCTACTCCCTGCTCTCAGTCTCAGACAAGAAGCATGGACAAGTGTCCCATCCCAGCGAGTCGAGTTACAGAAGCAGAAGGATTAAGCAATAGATGAGAGTTGTTGTGTGTATTAGTCACAAACTTAAAGCTACAAGCTGCAATATAAAGGTCTACTACAAACTGAAAATAACCAGAAATTCAAATTTCAGGCTGATATTCAAAGAATGTTTACTCCCCGCCCCCCTTTGCCATGGAGTGAGCAAGAGTATAATCATTAACTTTAAATAGATTAGTTTTACATTGACTGGTGCCAGAAGAATCTTAACTACATACTTTTGCATTTAATTTCCTTAAGAAAACATCTGGAAAACCAAGAACACTATTTTATTAATGTTTTTAACAACAGAAAGAATGTAAGTTTCATTCTGAAGGGAAAGGAATAGTAAACTCATCTTGCAACCCCTTTCAGACCTTGATATTTAATTCATGTTTTGGTTTCAGCTTTCTATGGATTGTTACACAGATTTTACAACTAATTTGGAGATTTATTCTGTTTATTTTGTATCCCATAGAGTTATTTTTCTTGCCAACCAAATTTAATCCGTTAATTCGTAGTTCTTGACTTTTTTTTTTTAAATAACATAGGTTAGCTAAGTACCATGTAGGAAACTAAAAGTTTTAAAAGCAGCTTTGGGCATTATAAATATAAATCATCAGTGTATTGAAAACAAATCTAATGAAACCTTAGCTAACAGATTGGAAGAATTCCTGATGCTAGCAAAATTCTATCTTTCATTGTAATATCACCACACAAAGGAGAAGCTGAACTCTGAGGTAGAGGGGACTGTTGTAAAAATGTACTTCACTTTTCTTTAGTGTCCAAGATTTAAGGCCTAACTCCTTAGAAACAAACAAAGTATCCTAACAGTTCATTTGGGGATCAAATATAATAATTTTTTCTCATAAACTGGTATTTCTTCTGATTTGCAGTGATCAGAAAGGTCTATGTAAAAAGCCAGCTTACTAGTGCACAGGATGCAAGTGTGAGGACAAAAGGACAAAATCATCCCCAGTGTAAGTCCATTCACTTCAGTGGAATTACTCAAGAGATAAATTTGACTCAAGAAGTCAGTGTCTTCTGAAATGCAATGGAACAGACAGAACTGTAAGAAACATGCCCTGATGTTCAACCTTCACAATGAAAACAAATATGGGTGACAGGAGAGATGTGGAGAGTAGAGAAACAGGAAGTTGAGGAGAGTGCTGGACTGAGAATGGACTCTGGGCCAATACCATGCTTCCCTCCCCTGAAATTGGGTTTGGTGGGCCCCCAAGTATGATGAATGAATGAGATGTGCATCTTCGCACAAACTCCAGCTTTTTTTCCTTGCGGCAATGGGCTAAGAAATTCCTCTCAGTGATGCCAATGAAAAATCCCAGTGAGTATTACTGAGTTGTAAAGAAGACAAAATGGTTGTAATCATACATGGAAGTGCATAATGGAATGTAGCGAGGAAGCAGAAAGAGCGAGGAAGGCCTTGAGGAGTGTAAGAAAACCAGAACTGGAGGCATGTGGAGAGAGAAGCCTGAAAATGTAGGGTTAGAAAGAGTGAGAGACATTTAGGTGAGGGTCGCCTTGTTTGCTTATTCCCATTCAGAGGTTTCATGAAGGAACAAAGAAATTGCCATAGGTCAGTTCAGACGCCTTATAGAGATAAACTCAAGGAGCTCTATCTATTTAGCTTAACAAAGACAAGGCGAAGGGGTGAACTTGATCACAGTTTATAAGCCCCTATATGGGAAACAAATATTTGATAATGAGCTCTTCAGTCTAGCAGACAAAGGTATAACAAGATCTGATGGCTGGAAGTTGAAGCTAGACAAATTCAGGCTAGAAATAAGATATATAATATAAAACTGTGAGGGCAATGAACCATTGGAACAACTTCCAAGTGGTGGATTGGGTGTTTTTTTAAAAGAGATGCTGTAGTTCAAAAGCAAACATTTTGGGGGAGTTCTATGGCCTGAGTTATAGAGGGAGTCAGACTGGATGATCACAATGGTCTCTTCTGGCCTTGGAATCCATGAATCAAAGTCCAGCTGGTAGGTTATCTCTGACAGTAAGCAGCATCAGATTCTTCAAATGAATATGCAAGATCCCGGAAAAGACAGTTATGCAGTAACATGCCTAATGTGGAAGCTTCTTCTGAGTCCCAGGCAGTTAGTGGCTGGCTTAACATGGAGGACTGATAGCCCATGTAAGAGCCAGATCCTCAGCTGCTGTAAATTGATCTATGCCCACTTAACCTGCTAAGGGTCTGGCTCTGTTTTTATCAAGCTAATATAACTGGGGATCTTCTTATCCCTACAAGTAACTAATCATCATTGAATCCTAGTAAGTTTTTTGTTTCAATATCTTGTAGCAATGAGTTCCATGGGTTACTTATAAGTTGTGCAAAAAATGTGTTTTGTTGTAAATATGTTTAATTTATTACGTTCCCTCTTGTTATTGTATTACACTAAAGGGTAAATGGGAGCACCTTTCGTTTATATTCATAGTTCAATACACCAACATCGTGTCTTCTCTTATGAAATCTTCTCTCTAACCAGTTCTGATCATTTTAATTTTTCCCATATAGAAGTCCTTCCAAGCCTCTAAACTGTGTTTGCTGCCTTTCTCTGTCCCTTTCCTATTTCTACTATTTCCTTTTTGAGGTGATGTGAACAAAGCACAGAATCAAAGGGAAGGGGAACCATCAGTGTATATAGTAGTCCCATTGTAATATTTTCAGCATTATTTTTCCCTTTTCTTAATACAGCCAAGCTTTTAACTGGCTTTTTTCCCTAACCAATACTGCACAGCGAGCAGATGTTTGCATTGATCTGTCAGGAATGATGCCTGTATTATTTTGTGGTGATAGCTGAATTGAATAACAATATGTATGACAGGTTTCAGAGTAGCAGCCATGTTAGTCTGTATCCGTAAAAAGAAAAAGGAGTACCTGTAGCACCTTAGAGACTAACAAATTTATTAGAGCATAAGCTTTATGTATGAGAAGATCAAACTGTTCTTTTCAATGTGCATTACTTTTACTCATATATAATTTTCTCAGGCAAAACATTGTTTAGCATTGTTTGATTCTTTGGAATTTCCTCAGTCTTCAGAATATTTTTTTAGAATTGGCTTAAACACTGATGAATAAGCAATTTATCAGGTTTGGCACTACCCTGTTTATCCCTGCTTCCAGATCATTAAGAACAATATTCATTATACTTTTGAACTCCTCAGATAAAAAGTATTAATACATTAAGTGACACCATTCCTGGCCCCTCCTTTACACAAGATGAACTCTAGGGGTGGATTCTGGTACTTGTGTGGAGCCTTACTGAAGTCCTTGGCTCTCCAAATTAATATGCTTCCATATTGAAAACTGGTAAGTTAATTATACATTTTATTTTAAATCTCCACAAATGTCTAATCTAATGTCAAAACTTTATAGCCGTTTGAAAGAGAAACTTCAAAGTTTGTCTAATGTAGACTATGCCAAACATACAATGAATCATGTTAACAGAAGTTTAATTCTGCAATAATCTCATAACTGAAAATAAAATAAATCCATTCTCCTCTCTATCTCTTTCTAATACTTGGAGCTCTTGCTTGGATTCCTGTTTGAAAGTGAAACACTGTGACAGATATGGTACATACCTTTGTATCCCAGAATGGCTACTGTTATTGTTAGCAAGGCACACAAAATATATAGTAATATGATGGAGAACTTCAGTGCCCAGTTATTTTTACATTTGGTACATTGAGTCCCCTCCTGAATACCTGCAAAAGAAGATGGGACTTTAAAATCAGGTCAAAGAGTAAGCTTTTATTGTGGTTTCTTTGTCTAAATCACATACATATATAATAATTGTACACATACTTGTCTACACTGCAAGTGATAGCTAACATTCCATGGACTCCGGGCTCACTATAGCCTCACTTTAGTGATATGCTCCTTTTAAGGTTTCAGATGAGTAATAACTGGATTAAATTTAACTGGAAAACCAAATGTGGCTTTATTTGAAAAAAAAACAACAACCACTATTATCATGAGTCTGGTAGTGAGACTAGGTTGCAATTAAGCCAAAAATTTATGGCAATATTCTCTGTCTAGATCCTGATGGTAATAATTCAGTTTTAACATTCAACTTCCCTGCACTGTTAGCAGTGGGTGACATTCACACACAGAAAAAGTAGAACTGAAATTAAGTACTACTCTGAATGTCTGAAAGGAGACTTTTGCACTATTTTGCAACTTTTATATTGACACATGGACTTAGAAGATAAATATTAGCACTTCTTTTTATTTTCACTGTGTAAAATAATGTTAATGAGATTTAGGGCTTGTCCATAGAAGCATAGTTATACTGGTATATCTCCCTGTGTGGACACCAGCAGGAGTTATATCAGTATAATTATGCTACTCATACCATTTCCCCACATAAGTGAGTTCTAAAAAAGAGAGAATAGGGAAAGGAATCTCCAGTGATGAGAGAAAATGAACCATTAATATTTGGTATTTGAGCTTTTTACAGAAGATATGAATGTCGGCCTGTTGTGAGACTCTTCTGTCAATGATCACAGGTTATAGCACATATATAAGCATTGAAAGCTTTCATTAGATTATCAATAATTGCAGGGGAAACAGGGACATATAAAAACATTAGAATGTGAAGACCATGTTGGAATGAATGGACCAGGTTGAGCCCTCATTAGGCAAGCATGAATATAGCCCCCTGCGTCTATTAAAAATGAACTTCCTTGACCTTTTACCCTATTTATTTACTACTAATGGAGTCACAAAGGAGAGCGCTTTAGTAGGTTGGGTGTACCAAATTACTGATCTAATGAAAACTTGCTCAGAAACTTTTTATGAGTAAATTATATTTCCCCTGGGGATCAACCCACCAGCTGATTTTACTTTTCTCCAACTTGTGACCTTCTGCACAGTGCTATTCTTCAGGGAAATGCACAGGCAGCTTCAGCTGTGTTTATTGAGGACTGATGACAGAAATAGCAAGTTAAGTCAACTCTTGTTATCTCAAAGAGTAACAGGTTCTCGTGGTTTTCTTAAACCTAAAGTGCTTTAAAAAGGGATTTTCATACAGAGGCAAATTCAAGAAGAGAGATTTATACATAAAGTAAGTTTATTTGATGAGTTATTTTCTCAGTCCCCTTCGCTAGTGTTATTTCATATATCAGGCTTGGATAACACTGAAATGAACACTTCACAGGCCAGCTCCTTCTTACACATTATGATTATGTGGCGAAGTCACACCATAATCTCATTGTTGTGACATCACATTTTGTTACAACCGGATGGATGTGATGTCATGGATTCAAAATTATGAAGTCACTGTAGGACATAGAAGAGAAGCTCAGTTGGGAAAGATCAATTCCTTTTTCAGATAGAGATACAAACCTCTCAGTAAATTGATACATGTGGCAAAAAACGGTGGGAAAACAAGTTAATGCATTTATGTTCTAAATCTAGGTTTGTTAGCATAAGCCATTTGGCCAGAAGCTCCAGAGGGGAAAGGGCTCTCTGCTCCCCCTATTGGTGAAAAGAGAGCTTCATTTGCATAGGCTATCTACCCACAATCCTGCTGGTGACACTTGGGGAGTCACCATAACTAGACATGAACTTGGATTTTGGGGGCAGTGGGCTCCCAGAGCAGCTTGGAGAGGGGAAGAGGATTTTATCTTATGACAAAGAACTGGTTTCCAAGCAGCTAGGACTCTACTCAAGGGTTTTAAGTGTGGTTGGCTCCCCTTCCTGGCTTGTACAGGATCTTGAAGTATTTGTGAGAGGGAGTTGTTCTGCCTGTTAACGGTCCCTAGAGAGGGAACACAGTTTTCCGGGCGGGGGCTTGGGCCAGTTTACTTATTTGTCAAGAAGATCCCCAAATATATTGAACACAGATCTTCTTGCTGTCAGTAACGGCTTGGAGGGAGGGTTACTTTAGGTGCAGTGGAGTGCATGGTGCTTTTCAGACAAGTTTGAAAACAAGATCCCTCCTCTGAGAGGTATATAATTTAGGACCTACTTTTGTAAGTTTCTGTATGCTCTAATTATCCATGGAAATTAATGGGAGTTCAGGGCACTCAGCACATCACAGGATTGGCCTCTACCTTATACAGGTAACAGAAATTAAAGTTAATGAGAGCAGGATCAAGCCATAATATGAAAGGGCAACAGACCACAGAGGTACAACACAGAGAAGGAGGCAGAAAAAAAATGCATGTTTGATATCAGCTGCATGTTGGAAATTTGTTTGTATTAAAGTCTCACATTAAAGTTACTCATTTTCAGCTTATGATCTGTTTGCTGACACTGTACTTAATTTGATTCCCTGTGCAATGTAACAGGCTGCAACTCTCACTAATGCCCCTGAATTTAATACTGTTCATCATCTAGCACCATATATGTACCCGTATTTCGCAAGCCACCTGCTTCCTTCTCTTGGTTTTCTCTCCCTATGTATGGTCCAATTAAACAACACTTGCGCTTTATGGATCTTTCAGTTTCAGTGTATTTCAAATGGACATAAAAATGGCACCTGAACTTGAGACACTTCCATTTTTTTAACAATCCACTACTGTCAGTATTGAGATGACACACACACACACTACATAATAATAATAATGATAAACACCCATTTTTTCATGATTTGTGTGTAGAAAAACAAACATCTTCTGTATTTTCCACTGCATGCATCCGATGAAGCGAGCTGTAGCTCACGAAAGCTCATGCTCAAATAAATTGGTTAGTCTCTAAGGTGCCACAAGTACTCCTTTTCTTTTTACACACACTACAGCAGCCACACTTTAAAAATTATATTGTAATCTAATCTACCCCAAGATCTAATGTGCACAAGTGCTGGAGCAGAAAATCAGGTAGTTGTAAGTGGGTCCCTCGTCCCCCCCACAACTTTGGAGACTCTAGCACAGATAGCTATATCAATTTAACCTCTTCTGGGCTGTGGTATTTGTCTTATGTCAGGAATACATGGTGTCAAAAATATAAAGGGAAGGCTAACCACCTTTAAATCCCTCCTGGCCAGAGGAAAAAACCCTTTCACCTGTAAAGGGTTAAGAAGCTAGGATAACCTCACTGGCACCTGACCAAAATGACCAATGAGGAGACAAGATACTTTCAAAAGCTGGGAAGAGAGAGAACATCAAAGGGTCTGTGTCTGTCTGGGTGAGGCTTTTGCAGGGGACAGAACAGGAATGGAGTCTTAGAACTTAGCAAGTAATCTAGCTAGATATGCGTTAGATTATGATTTCTTTAAATGGCTGAGAAAATAAGTTGTGCTGAATAGAATGAATATTCCTGTCTGTGTGTCTTTTTGTAACCTAAGGTTTTGCCTAGAGGGATTCTCTATGTTTTGAATCTAATTACCCTGTAAGGTATTTACCATCCTGATCTTACAGAGGTGATCCTTTTCTTTTTACTGTTTCTTCTATTAAAATGTTTCTTTTCAAGAACTGAATGCTTTTTTTCATTGTTCTAAGATCCAAGGGCTTGGGTCTGTGGTCACCTATGCAAATTAGTGAGGATTTTTACCAAACCTTCCCCAAGAAGTAGGGTGCAAGGGTTGGGAGGATTTTTTGGGGGAAACACGTTTCCAAACAACGCTTTCTCAGGAACCCAGAGAAACATTTGGTGGCGGCATTGGAAAACCAAGGGCAAAGGATAAAATAGTTTGTACCTTGTGGAAGTTTTAACCTAAGCTGGTAAAAGTAAGCTTAGGAAGTTTTCATGCAGGTCCCCACATTTGTACCCTAGAGTTCAAAGTGGGGAAGGAACCTTGACACATGGATATTCATTTTGTTCCTGATAGTGGCTGGCCTTCTGATTAACTAATTAAATAGAGAGGACTACTAAAGATGACAAAAACCTGGATCTGTCTCAAATGAGAGAATAGGTACTGAACTATTTCCAGTATCTCTGGCGGAGCTTGAACAATTTAGGTTCACTTTGCTTAAAGTCCACCCAAAGTTGGTTGATCTGGTACATAAGAGGCACTTGTGAACATGGTCTCATTAAGGTTGTCTTGTGGTTTGTTAAGGTCCTTTCCTTTATAAAGGAAACAGCCATATTAGTCTGTCAGACTAACAAGAGGCAACATGGGGAAGGATTTAGAGTGAGTGTAGGGTATATGTAAAAAACTGCAACATAAAGTAGGTACCTTCTCTCAACCTTTATCATGGGAGCACAGAGTCATGGCTTGAAGTCCATATTCCATCTTTAACAGGAAAAACTTCCACTTGAGTTAATGGCATTTTGGCTATTTGGAGCCCTGAGTATAAAAACTACGAGATTTGGCTTATAGTGAATCACTGTTATCTGGCTAGGTTTGTAACATCTCATTTGGAGATCTTTTAATTAACTCAGTGGAACCAGTGTAGGACATTTTCCTACAAAGGGAACATATGTAAATCACACAGAACTGGGCTTAGCTTGAATCAGATCTTTGTTGTTCCCAACACAACATATTCCACTATGCATTCTCTACACATGGTTTTAATGATGATGTGCTCCCAGACATTTGTCACTAGCTTTGCATACCCAAAAGTCAGGGTCACTTCCGGATGATGAGCATTGCTCACTGCTGACTTTATCAACATTTAATAAATATCAGATGTGACATGCTGTGCCTTGACACACTTTTCTTTTTCCCCGACTTATTATAATACAAGCTTTGTTTTTTTCTATTCACTGTTGGGAAGACATCTGGCCAAACAGACAGCAAATCAGTACAAAGGAATCCTGC